TCATTCTTGAAAACTCAAAATCTAAAAAGGAAGAAGAAGAAAAAGAAGAGTAAAGTGAAAAAGGTTTGGATGCCAAAGGTACAAGCACCTCATGCTTGTGAAAAGGTTTTGAAAGTTGAAGCCAAGCATGTTTAAAGAAAAATCAACTCTCACTTTTGTTCAAATGAAGATGTTAGAAGTTGGAGAAAAGAAAAAATAGTATTTGTTTGGTTTAATGAAATTTTTGGAAAATTTTGTTTCCCAACTAAAAAGCGAATATCATTTTTAGAAGATGATCGCTTTTCTTCAAAGAAATGGGTGTACAAGAAACCAACTTCAACTTTAAATTTTAAATGTGTCTCAAAGGTTTCTTAAAAGTTTTGTTTAAAAAAGGGGGACAAAAGATGACAAAAATTCAGTCAAAAGGGTGAAATTTTGATGAAGAAATCAATTTTTATTGAATTTACAATTTTTTGGAATTGACAAAAAGTTGAAAAGTTAAAAAGATCGGCTGAAAGTGAACATTTTCTGCAAAAAGGGGTACAATTCTGACATGTTGCAATCAACAGTGGATGCTAGCTATAAAGTGTACTTTTAACAGGGGCTAGTTTTGGAACTTTGAAGAAATAAATGGTTGATTTTGAAATGATTGACAAAGATTGGTTACTTTCGGAATTATGGGTATAATCTGCCAATTAATTGAAATTTAAGGGGCATTTTCGGAAGTTTAAATCCAATGATCGTGTTCGTTCCCTGCAATCAGTGAGTTTCAAACTGGAAGTCGATTAAAAATATCTCGGAATTGGAATTAGAGGTTTTCGGATTTAAGTTCTTGGTTTCTCAAGTAATTCAATTGATTTCGCAAGTATTTATCATTCGGAATTGGAGTTGCTATAACACTCGGAACAAAAACTTGTCATCGGAATTAAATAGATTTCGGAATTAATCTCGTCGGATCGGAACTATCCCAACCGGAATTACTGTTCATATTTCGATCCTTGGAATGCATCGAAATCGGAATTTCAAAATCAGAAATAGTTGTTCGCAACTTTACGTCATCGGAACTTCAAAATTAGAAATCGGAAATCACTGTTGATCGGGATCGGAACCGTCTTCAAAGATTCAGAAAACCAAAATCGCTTCGGTCATTAATTTCGGATCAACAGGTTTCGGAATTTTATTCTTGTGAATTTCGGAACTTGATTTCGTAGTCGGAAGATGTCTGGATTTTATTGTTATTCGGAATTTCGTTGCTGGTCGGAATTTCAAAGCTACCAAATTGGATTCAGAATTAATAGTCAGAAATCGTTTTGAATTTGACTTTTTCAAGTCAAAGAGCGTGTTCTTCCTACGCATACGAAGAATATGATTCAACTTTCAAATTCAGTCCCTGCTCTTTCCACAATCAACAGTTTCTACCCCTTCTTATAAATTCGTTACAATTTTTGGGTTTTTACCACTTTTACCACTTCTTTCCAAAATATTTTCATTTCTTATCCTTTTCTTCGGTCTTATTTTTTTCAAACCCTTCTAAGTAATTGTTTCTTATTCTTTTCATTTTGTCTAAAATTTAATACCGAAAAATACAAAATAATTTTTGTTAGTTTCCCGTTTTTAATTTTTTAAAATCGCAAAAATCCAAAAAGAGTTTATTTCATCATCTGTTCAAATATGACGGCTTTTGAAGATCTATTTTGGTGAAGTTGCTCCTTATAACAGAGCAGGTTATATGTAGCCTTACTCTTTGAGATAGCGAAGATTGTTGGTGATTCTTCTTAACTTTCCGAATTCACTACATGGTATTTGTTGAAGATTCAAGGGGGGGTGTTGATTATTCAAGGGGGAGTTCGTATTTGGAAGATGATATTTGTTTCTCTCGCTTTGAAGACAACATGTACTGATGAGTCTGACAATGTTCATCAGTTTCAACATTTAAGGGGAGATTGTTGAGTATTTTGAGATATAGCAACTGATTTGACATTTTTGGTTATTTAGGGAAGCCCTTTTAGGGTTTTATATTTTTGCTAAATATTTTATGTTCCCTATAAATAATCATTAGGTTAGCTTTTGATGTAAGCTTTTTCCTGATTAGGGTTTTCTTTGTACGTTCATATCAATATCAATATAGACAAAACCAAGGTCAGGTTACTTCAACTTTATTATGATTGATTCATGATTGTTCTTCAGATTCCGCATTCGTCATCTCGTCATTACTCCTAACATTGTCTTTTTCTTATTTTTGTCTTCAAATTTCAAAAACAAAAATCTAAAAAGAGTTTCCATATTTTATTTTGTGTGTTTAACCATTTTTTCTGTCTCAATGTTTTAACATACTGAGGTAGCGAATGCTCATTTGATTACATTCAACGAGGGACAGATATGACTTAAACCTATTACACTAGTTAGGTGTCCTTAGAAGTGTGTTGTTGTATGTTTACCTTAAGCCTCATAGACTCAATGTCTTTTGAAACCTTAATGGATATCTCACTAAAAGTGTTCCTTCCCAATCATCCTATATTCACATTAGTCGAAGAGCTACTTTTCTCTTCTTATTTTGAGTTAAGACATTTTTACTAAGTCCATATCATTTACAGAGGTACAAAGTGTTTTCTAAACCAATCTTCTTTTTTCAAAAATTTTCTGAATGAATCACACACATCACTGCATATCCTCGTCATCTATGGTAGAAACCAACCATAATGCAGATATTGCAAAAGTCTGTGTTAATGATCCTGATTCATTTTTCCGTGATGATGGTGAAACCCAACAATCCCAACTTTTATGGAATTGACAGTGAACTTTATATTCAAGATTTTAACGAAACATTTGTTTCTATACCACAATTTGATATTAAAAATTGTATTCCTTTCATTATGCATTCTTGATAAAATGTTCTTTCACCAATATATTTTTGGCCAACATGATCCAACTCTTATCTTTTTGGGATATCATTTCAGTCGGAATATATTTTCAAACTCTTGTCCCTTTGAAACATTACTCAACCTCACTTGTTTCTGACTACATTGGTCATACAAGTAATTTTGTTCTTTTAACTCACATTTATGTTATGTTTTGGTTTTGAATAAAATTGAGCCTACGTTCGAAGCCCGTGCAAAAGAAGCCCTTCGATACTCATTAAGGAGTATTTGATTGTACTTCACGGGATACCACACAAGAAATTCTTCATCTTTCTTCATGTCAGATGAAGTGATATTTTGCTGGGATATAACTGCTTTTACATCGAATATTATTTGATGTCACTATTTTGCATATTTTTTAAATTCGATCCCTACTATTTCTTTGATGCACATTTGCACTAGAATACTCTAGGTTTTAGGTAATACCAACTCAAACCTAGATTTTGCAAGTGCATATGATTTCATTTTTCATCCTAAAATTAAATGAGCCTGACCTATATGTTGTTTTTCATTTTTCAAACCTAGTGTAGCGCTTGATACAGCAAAGTTAGAAGTATATTCCATGATTACAAGTCTTTACTTTGATATAAATGTCATTTATGTAACTCATTTGTGGGACGAATTCGATACAGGAATTTCTCATACCAATCTCACGAATGGTGTATTGTGTGCGAAGAATTTCTCATACCAATGTCAAGAATTCGGTACAGAAAGAGGGTATTTTTGTACCATCCGAAGATGCAAAGGCGGAGTTCTCAACATATCAGACTCCCAAGATTAGTACTGATAATACAATTTTGTTTCCTAATGTAGATAGAATTCCAGATACCATGTTACGAAAAGTGGATCCTACTAATCCGATTCTTGTTCAATATTTGACAACTATTAACCCAGATTTTCATGTTGGGGTCTTGTTGCCAAAATGGGTAGAAGGCACATCGAAGGCTGTGAAAGCTTCAAAGAAACCAAAGAAACCTGATCAACAAATATATGTCCTTGAGCAAATAGAGAAGTAGGTAACAAAATCGGTTCAAGAAAATGTTGAAAAAGAAAATCCTAAGTAGGTTGTTCCATTAAAGACATGTATTCTGAAACAAATCAAGAAGCCTGCTCATCTACCTTGTCCTTCTTCTGACCCGTCAATCATTGAAGAAGCTTCTGATGAGCCTCTTTCTTCACCAAAATAGGGATCTATTTTAAAAGGGATTAGGAAAATTCACAAACCCCAAATTAATAGGAGGGTGTGTGTGTATTCGTGATGTTCCAATCCCAGTCTCAGCAGCCTCGAAGAAACGGAAAGCTCATGAAGTGGTTAAGAAGATCAAGAATAAGAAGAAACAGTTGGCTGATCCACTTGAAGAAGTTATCATTGAAAATGATTTTGATAGTGGAAGCGGAAGATCACCTACTCGTCATGAAGTTCGACTTGGCTTAGAGACACCTCAAAGGGACTCTCCAGTTAATTCGACTTTGGTGGAGATAGGAACTCTTAATGGCAATGTAAACATATCTAATATGGATACAACCACTAATTTTGGTGAATCTCAATATACTTCCATACCTGTGAAGACAGTTGGCATACCACCTGAGGTTTTGAGGACTGAGTTTGTTTTAGAGGAGATTCAAACCTCAGGCATCACTGTGAATATATTTGATATGGACACAAATGTCACTATGGGTGAAGGGATGAAGCATAACGAACCCCATGGTACATCTTCCATTGAAACCTATTCTATACCTAACACACTTATTCTTTCTTCTACCATCGAAACCACCCTCATTGATACTTCAACCTCTTTACCACCATTTTGTTCTCCAATGCCATCCTTATTACATGCTTCTACCATTTCACTAACTTTTTCCAATATCATGAATCAACTAATTACATCACTTTTCTCTTCCCAGTCCATTGAAGAAGATAACATTCCTAATCACATACTCATGTCAAGGAATTTTGTTCGACCCTGAAGAAGATAACATTCCTGATCACATACTCATGTCAGGGAAACAATTTAAAATTCTTAATCACAAGCTTAATTCGTTGTTAAAAATTCACGCAGATATAGGGGGTCAAATTCAGTTTCTAGGGTGGAAGTGGATATTATGCTCAATTCTCAGGAGAATCGTTTAAAGGCTGCTATCGAGCAGATTAAGCAACAACATGAAGAACGTTTGAAGAATCATGCTCATAATTTTGAGTATGAGGTTACAAAAATTCGTGTTTTTGCAATAAAAAGTCATGAGTTTTTTGTTGAGCAAGTTAAGAAGGTTGAAGACTCCATAAACCTCAAAGTTGCTGAGCTAAAGCCAGAAATGACGAAGAAGGTTGAAAATCTTGAGAGCAATTACTCCCTTCTTCATGGAAAAGTGGATGTCATTGCTGATTCGATCACCAAGCTTGTGGAGTATCACACTTCGTTCTCAACCAAGTTTGATGCCAAGTTAGATCAAGATTCTAAAGTGTTTAGAAAGCTGGAAGAGTTTTTGGGAAGCTTAAAAGAGTCTATGTCGAAGATTAATCTTTCTAAAAAATCTTTTGTCTCTTAGGACTCTATCACGAACATATTGTTGGGTTTTAGCCATAAGAACTTTCCTATGTGCGCATGCAAAACCCTATTGCTTGGATCTAGAATCATACCTTTGAGTTCCTTGTTGATCTTGTTGTCTTGGAGCTTCTAGAGTCACAATTGTCACTCCTCTAATGGTTTACAAACACCAATAGCAAGCAAGATGATTTAGGAGAGAGAAGAGGGGATGGAATTCGACCAGAGGTTCCTTGCTTTAGGTTCTGAAAGGTTGTACACGAATTCCACACCCCAAGGGCCTATTTATACCTTTAGACTCCTTAAGGGTTTCACCCTAAACCCTAATTGGATAATCTTCACTTAAGGCTATCCAAATCCATTCCATAGATATCCTTATGGACTATTTTGAGCTATCCTAAAGCTCTTAGAAACCGTCCAAAGTCAACCCTAATGGATTTACAGTCTAAAGCTTAACTATCAAACAATTGACAGTTTATACCCTCTTATTTAATTAATCTCTTTAAGTCACCAAATTAATACCAATTAATTTATGACTTATATTAATCAAATAGCTAAATATTATTCCTTATAATATTTACTCTCTCTTAACAAATCATCCTTCAAGTTGCTATGGTGAAGGCAACCCAAAAGGACCATGCACACCGAATATAGTTATAGCCTTAGACACTATTCCAACAGTCTCCCACTTGGATAAGTCTAGTAACTATACAAGTACAATACGGTTTGCAATCGTAGCTCTCAAAGACGCTGTCAACTCTGATCTAATCAATCTTGTCCTTTAGATAAGGGATCGTACAGTCCTCTGTTAGATATCATGCTGACAATCCTATGGAATGGTTAGTCTAGCATTTAGATTTCTCGATCTTCGATTTATTTGACATAGAACTTAATCGAACACATCAATTCAGTTCTGACCGGGCCCGGCACATAAGTCAAATCAAATCATCGAGTGGCCAAGATATCTCTTCTACCCTCTTAGGATAAAATTTACAGATAAACTTCGACTTATATGCATTTACTTATTCATTAACCAACTATACACAACAATGCGTTTTATAACATCAAGTTACTGATGCGTTTTCGCATTATCAATGCACAATCAATTAACAAATAATAAACCATATATCTAGGTTTTAAGACCATATGATATTATCGTCTTGCGATCACCTTTTATATCATATTCCATAAGGTGATTCCAGCAAGCGCGGGTTTATTCCAATGCTCAAAACCAGTTCGTAAGCACTCATGAACGTTGCAGCAACTCTTGCTATGTCTAACACCATTTAGACACTCTACACACCAATTCACGACAATCTTCATTCATATCTACTCCCAACATATGAACGATTGTGGACCATTTGAATAATTCGATTATTCCTAATAAACTCAATTATTCTGGAAGTCAAAACATGCAAAGTGAAACAATAGTTAAACAACTAACATGTGATAGTAACTTTACTCATAAATAAAACTTCTTTATTTAATCATCAAATGTAATTACATTTATCTATTATACGTTTCTAATACATCTAATCTATGCTAATATCATCCTTCAGCCCAATACTCCTAGCATGCTGTAAGTGCTTAACCCTACTCAGTCCCTTCGTAAGCGGATCTGCTGGGTTATCTTCTGATGATATCCTCTTCACTACGAGTTGTCCTTCTTCTACACGATGTCTAATGAAGTGATATTTTCTGTCGATATGTCGAGATCTACCATGATCCCTCGGTTCCTTGGTCAAGGCAACCGCACCTTCGTTATCACAGAAAATCTCCATGGGCTCCTTTATGGCCGGCACAACTCCAAGATCACCGATGAAGTTTTCAGCCATATTGCCTCCTTCGACGCTTCGCTCGCTGCGATGTACTCTGATTCGCACGTTGAATCAGCTACGGTTTCCTGCTTGGAACTTTTCCATGTCACTGCTCCTCCATTTAGGGTAAAGACCCAGCCCGACTGCGAACGATAGTTGTCCCTGTCGGTTTGAAAGCTGGCGTCACTATACCCTCGCACCTTCAAGTCATCACTCCCTCCAAGGACTAAGAACCATTCTTTCGTCTCCGAAGGTACTTAAGGATGTTCTTCACCGCAATCCAATGTGCTTTGCCAGGGTTCCCTTGATATCTGCTAACCATGCTCAAAGCGAAGGCTACATCAGGGCGAGTACAAGTCATAGCGTACATGATTGAGCCAACTGCGGAAGCGTATGGTACTCGGCTCATTTCTGCTATCTCAGCTTCGGTACTCGGACTTTGAGTCTTACTCAACTTGGCATTTCCTTGTATCGGTAGTTCTCCCTTCTTTGAGTTTTCCATACTAAAACGTTTTAGTACCTTCTCCAAGTAAGTATTCTGACTAAGTCCAATTAGTCTCTTACTTCTTTCTCTTACTATCCTTATTCCCAAAATGTAAGAAGCCTCTCCGAGGTCCTTCATAGCGAAGCACTTCCCGAGCCAGGACTTAACCTCCTGCAGAGTCGGGATGTCGTTTCCTATGAGTAATATGTCATCGACATATAGAACGAGGAAGCTTACTACACTCCCACTGGCTTTGACATATACACAAGATTCGTCTTCGCTTCGTACAAATCCAAACTCTTTGACTTTCTCATCGAAGCAAAGATTCCATCTGCGAGACGCTTGCTTAAGTCCATAAATGGACTTCTCAAGCTTACACACTCTATTCGGATGCTTCGGATCCACAAACCCCTCTGGCTGAGCCATGTAAACATCCTCAGCCAACTTTCCGTTAAGGAAAGCGGTCTTGACATCCATTTGCCAAATCTCATAATCATGAAATGCGGCAATTGCTAGCATCACTCTAATAGATTTAATCTTCGCAACTGGCGAGAAGGTCTCATCATAGTCAACTCCGGGAGTTTGAGTAAAGCCCTTCGCAACCAATCGCGCTTTGTATGTGTGTACGTTCCCATCCACGTCGGTCTTCTTCTTGAAGATCCACTTGCACCCTACGGTCTTACGTTCGGGCACGTAATCAACCAAATTCCAAACTTGGTTATCGTACATGGATTGGATCTCGCTATCCATCGCCTCTTTCCATTTCGCAGACTCCGGGCCTGCCATGGCTTCCTTATAGCTATTAGGTTCATCAAGATTTACTAGTGTACCATCACTAATATACGTGTCCCCTTCGGTAGTAATATGAAAACCATAAAACTGGGGTTGAACTCTAAATCTATCGGAACGTCTAAGAGGTAAGGATTCGTCAATCGGTTCAACCGGAGTTTCCTCCTCGGGTTGAACGCCAGCGGTGGAGGTTCCTTCATCTATCGATTCTTGAATCTCTTCAAGTTCGATTTGCCTCCCACTGTCTCCTTGGCTTATGAGTTCTCGCTCTCGGAAAACTCCTCTCCTCGCAACAAAGATAACATTATCTTTCGGTCTATAGAAGAGATATCCAAAGGAAGTTTGCGGGTAGCCGATGAAAATACATCGCTCACTTCGAGGTTCAAGCTTGTCGTGAGTATCTCGTCTTACGAAAGCCTCGCAACCCCAAACCTTGATATGTGCCAACGAGGGAGCTTTCCCCGTCCACATCTCGTGAGGTGTTTTGGCAACCTTCTTAGTAGGGACTCGGTTAAGGATATGGGCGGCAGTCTCTAAGGCATACCCCCAAAAGAAGATAGGTAGTGAAGCACGACTCATCATAGAGCGAACCATATCCAATAAGGTTCGATTACGCCTTTCTGCCACACCATTCAACTGCGGTGTCCTAGGAGGCGTCAATTGCGAAACTATTCCACACTCCTTGAGATAATCGTGGAATTCAAGACTTAGGTACTCTCCTCCTCGATCGGATCGAAGCATCTTGATTTTCCTGCCCAATTGATTCTCCACTTCACTCTTGAACTCTTTGAACTTTTCAAAGGTTTCTGACTTTTGCTTGATTAAATAGATATACCCATATCTACTATAATCATCGGTAAAGGTCACATAGAAGCGGTTCCCATCCTTCGTGGTTGATCTAAAAGGTCCACATACATCGGTATGTATTAGGTCTAATAGTCCCTCACCCCTTTCACAAGTACTCGTGAAGGGTGATTTAGTCATCTTTCCAAGTAAACAAGATTCGCATGTGTCATCTTCCCTAAGGTCGAATGACTCCAACACTCCATCCTTTTGGAGTTGGGCTATGCGTTTCTTGTTGACATGTCCAAGACGACAATGCCACAAGGATGCTTTATCCATACTAGTGGAAGAATCAATATTCAAAACATCATTTCCTAAGTTATCAACAATCATAACAGTTTCATATATTCCATTACATGGTATAGCTTCAAAATAAAAGACACCATTAGATAAGCCAAAATAGAACCATTCTCATTATTAAAAGAAAATCTAAAACCTTGTCTATATAAACCATGAAATGAAATGATGTTTCTAGCCATTTCTGGCGAATAGCAACAATTGTTCAAATCTAAAACTAAACTATTCTTAAGCACTAAAGAATACACTCCAATCTTGGTCACAGGCGACGATCTTCTGTTCCCCATGATTAGATTGATCCTTCCTTGCTCCACATCCCTACTTCTTCTTAGTCCCTGCACATTAGAACAAATGTGATAACCACAACCGGTGTCAAGAACCCAAGAAATAGCATGATTAGAATCTGTTAGATTTGATTGCATATATACCTGCGAAAGATGGCTTGATCTTTCCTTCCTTGATGGCTTGCATGTAGTCCGGGCAGCTTTGCTTCCAATGTCCTATCTTGTGGCAGTGGTGGCACTCTGCCTCCTTCGGGTTAGAGCAGGGCTTAGAGGGATCAACTTTGGTCCCACTAGAAGAGGAACCATCTCGGGCTTTCACCTTTCGATAGTTATTTGAAGAAGCTTTCCTCTTCTTTCCCTTCCCTTGACCAATAGCCAAGACAGGAGCAGCAGACGGATTGGGAGTTGGTGCAACAGACTTGTCCTTGAAATTGCTCTCAGCAACCCTCAAGAGACCTTGGAGCTTACTTAGAGTGACCTCCTCTTTGTT